TCATTTTAAATACCAGTGTGTTTCTGTGTCCCAAGGAAGAACATATGAAATAAGGGCAATTTTGGAGAATATGTGCATATAGTTTAAAAAATTCTAAAATCATATGTAACTTTAAAAAATGCTTGTATTTTAATGTTTGCTTGCTGCCCATAGTCACTTTTTTGAGTTTGGCAGTTAAACAATTTAAATAAAAATAATTAAAGGAATTCAGCATAAGGTATAAATATTTATTTCAAATGTTCTAGGCTCCTTTTTCTATTTCTTAGATTTTTAGAAGTGAGCATTAATAATAACAGCATATATAAAATTGTTTTAAAAAGCAGGGAACTTTTTCCAGAAACTTGTCTCTTTCTGACAAGCTTCCCACCATTGTTTCTTGTCCTTCCCTTAGGTCCTATGGAGAATAAATCAATGATTTTTTTTCCTGTGACAACTTTTCAAGTATTTCAAGACTGCAATTCTCAGGCATAAAAGATCAGTACCATATGTTCAAAGCTATACACAAGAATCTAGTCAACCAAGTTCAATACTAAATTGTTGCAAGATAAGGACCAATGTAATTCAAGAAGATTTGGATTTAGACAGGTCATGGAAACATAAAAACTCTAAGATGATGGCTTTTCCTGCTCCTCCTTTCATCCTTAAACCTTTTCTTGCCCAGTTCCCTTCACTGTTCATTATATAATTTAGCTCCCAGACCTCAATTTTTGTTGCTCATCTCTGCCCTCTTTCTAATGTCTCAGCATCTTTTGGTTTCATGATGATTTTTGTATTGTGGTGATTTTTCTGTCTCTCTTCCAGGCCTGCATTCCTGAATATCTAATTTGTGGTAATTAATGTTTTTTATCAGCTAATCATTGTTCAGCAATATCTGAGTCTGGTTAAAATATTTTCCAATGTTCTTATATTAAGTTTAAGTATTCCCATTTTGTTGGTTCTGATTTATAATTGTAGGATATAATGGTTCAATGATTCAATAGTTCAACTATTTAAAAAACTGTGTAGTTTAGTCTTTTTTGTTTTTCCAGTATTCTAGAGGTCCACAGTTATTTTTACCCAGTCATGGTCATTAATCCACTGTCCACTTGCTGACAGATGCTCAGGAAGTCTAATATTTGACTCAGTCCCCATTGGCCTGAGAGTTGACTGAGCCAATGTAGGATTAATTTTCTGTTCTGTCATCATATTAAATGGGTTAATGAATATGCATAATCTGTCTCTCTTGCTAAGAGCTATCTCATAGTTTAAGTATATCTAAATCTGTATTCATCTAGCTTCATCGTGTTTTGAAAGCTATTGGATTTAACAATAGTGCTGGAGATAAAATTTATTTTAATGAGGACCAAGAATCTACAGATGGCTATGACATTGTGAATTGCATCATCTTCCCAAATGAGTCTTTTTCTCAGGTAAAAGTTGGAAGAGTGGAGCAGCAGAGTCTGAAAAACTTGGTATTCACTTTTAAAGATAATGCAGTTGTGTGGAATAACTGGTTCAATCAGGTGAGATATTTTAGTTCCCCCTTTAGTTTAAATACTACATTTTAATTCTTTCTTTGTTTTATATGGTTCAGCAATAAGATGCATTTCTTGCACAAATGCTGAAAATTACTATGCCCTTGCTTCTAGAAGTAAATGTTTTCTGATTTGTCAATATAACAAACCCATTGGATACACATCAACTAATTGATGCATTTCAGTTGGTACAGAATTATTATCTTTGTTGTGCAATGTCAATGATTTCATGAAAAAAAAATGATATACGTGAAGGCATTTCTATAGCCCCAGTTGGAGATTCTTAAAACCGATACATTTTCCCTTAAAGCAGCTGTGCAATTACAGGAAAGTAATGTATTTGGTTTATGCAGTTTGTAAGAGGTAAAACTAGAACTCTTTTTCCCCTTGATATTCAAAGTGTTAAAGAAAGATCACATCAGAGATGGTTCACAAGGATCTTTTACCTAGTGTGAAAGGATACATGTTTCTCCAGATCCAATGACATACCTAGCAGGGCATATCTAAATCAAGGCAGGCACATTGGGCCATAGGTCCCCCCAATTTTTTTTTCACTTTTTTATATTCTATAGAGACTATTTTCAGTCTTGTATTTCATAATTAAGCAATATGTTTTTCATTTTCATTTCTGAAAAGACTGTGTTGGCCAAGAGATTATTTTTTGTTTACTATCTTCTGCTGTCTTTGTGTGTGCTATTGCCTGAGCCTTAGCAACCTCACTGAATTTGAGAAGGAAAAATTGCATGGGTACAATATATACCTTGTGTTTATATTGGAAAAGTAGTCCATGAAAGCAACATGTAAATAATAAATTGATACATTTATTGCCATTGACATCCACCCATGTGTTGATGGAGAAAAGGCTGAAAATGATCTCCAACCTTTTCTTTCTGAGTGCCATGAAGTTGGAAAAATGAGTTGGTGCTTGTTTTCCTGCTGCCAGTTGCCTAAATTTGTCAAAGAAGAGAAAATGACCAGATTTGGTTTTTGTCTTATTACAAAGTATACCAATATTTTATAATGGATTTTTTAAAATGTAAGTTAATTATTAAAATGATAAATCTTTCTTCATAAACCTTCCAAAATCTAAAAAGAAAAAAAAAATAATTCTATTAGTCAGGTGAAAATGGTCTTTACATGATTAATTATAAAGAGAATGAACTAGCAGATGAACTAAAGGTAAAATTGGCTTTATATAAAGTAGTTTTTAATGTATCACTGTAATAGGGCCTAGAATTATGGTTGTAAGACATAACAATGATTAAGTGGGTTATCATGTGATCTTGTCCAATTTTACAACCAATTTAAGTAATTAAGCAAATGGCATAGTCATTTAGTGAATACTGCTATCATTAATTGAACTCATTTTTCAAAAAGATTTTTTTTTGCCAGAAATCAGAATTAAAAGCTAGAATGCTTATCTGACTGGTGGATGCTGCAAATGATTATAAATACAATCAGGTTGCTAAATGTCCAAATTAGATCGTGTGATCTAATCACACAATCTGGGGGCTGTTGTGTATAAACTGGGTTAACAAAAACACAAATGAGTGGGTGATAAGCCACCAGGGAAAGCAAAGAGAAATCATCAAAGCCATTAAAAGCAAAAGTTAGAGTATTTTGGACATGTGATGTTACACCCAGAAAAATACAGCATACTTCACTTAGTCCTCCAGGGGAAAATTGAAGGCAAACAAGGTCCAGGCAGAAGAAGAACATCATGGCTACAAAACTTAAGGGACTGGTTTGGACAAACCAAAGTGCTCAGCAGCACTTTTTCTTGTGGCTGTTGACAAAAATATGATTGCCGACATGATCATCAATGTCCGATGATAGATATGGCACAAGAAGACGAAGATCATGGGACAGTGTCTATAGGAATTTGTGAAAAAGATTATAACTAGCTCTGGGAAGATAATGTGTAAAAATGCTGATCATTAAGCAAGGACTACCTATAGTTACATCTGAATTGTAGGCATCTGGAAATTTGGTTTGAGATCAAAACACATTGAAATGACTTGTTAGTAAAAATTAACAGCTTACTTTTTTTATTTAGACAACGCCCCATTCTTTTTGCACTGACAATTGCCAAACTGGATACTATAGACAACTTCGACAGGGGAAACCTGTTTGCTGTTATGATTGTATTCCATGCCCTGAAGACATGATTTCTAACACAACAGGTATATATGGAAAGAAGATACAGAAACAGTTAGGAATAGAACAAACATAGTTAAATGCACACAAAAATCTATCTTGAATTGAAGCAAAATGAATGAATATTCTAAGGCAGGGGTGTCCATCGCCTGTTGTCACAGTGGCATCACATGCCATATTGGGACTGGCATGGGTGTGACCAGAGCATGACTCATCCGGCCTGTGGGACAGAAATTTGACAGCCCTGCATTAGGTTCATTGCAGTGTGTTGGTTGGTAGGTTTTGTTTCTTTTATTTCTTTTTTGTATATTACATATTACTCCAGGAGTTAAACAAAGGCTTTCCTCCACATTCTTTTTCCACTGCAGTATGTCTCTTAGATAGGAGAAGTGGAGAGATCCTGTGTATGCCAGAAAAAAAAGTTCTATACTCTGTGTGGACTTAAGTCTGTATCTTTTTTGTTCCTACTACAATATATTGCTTATCCCCTAGTCTACTGACTTTCTTTATAAAGTTGTTCTGAATTATTAAAGTCACAAGTTTAAAAGTTGTGTCAATTTGCACATAATTTTACTGTGCATTTTCTGTTAGAATTCTATTTTAGAGTGTAAATGGCAAAACTGAAATTAGAAATTGAGATATTAATGTATTGACTACTTGCTTCAAGCTCAAATTTCAAAAAAATATGAAAATTACTACAAACATGTGTAATTATATGATCCACAGTCTTCCATACCTATATCTTAGTGAAACAGATTGAGAAATAATTTTAAATACTATTCTCTGTCTCTGCCCCTCTGTCTGTTCCTTTTCCTCCCCTTTCCCTCTGCCTTTCTTTCTCTTGCTCTTTTTCTCAACCACAGATGCACAATACTGCAGCCAATGTCCAGATGATGAGCATTCCAGCCAAGGGCAAGATGAATGTATTCCAAAATCAATAGACTTTCTCTCTTATACTGAAACTTTGGGAATTCTGCTAGCTTCCTCTTCCATCATTTTGTCTTTCATCACAGTTCTGATACTCATCATCTTTATTAAACTTAGGAAAACTCCCCTTGTCAAAGCCAACAACCGGGACATCACCTATGCTCTGCTTTTTTTGCTTCTGCTTTGTTTCCTTTCCTCCTTGCTTTTTATTGGAAAGCCTAGGAGAGTGACCTGTCTTCTCCAACAAATAATGTTTGGCCTCATCTTCACTGCTGCTGTTTCCTCTGTGTTGGCCAAAACCATCACAGTCATTTTAGTTTTCAAAGCTATACAGCCAGGAAGTAAGATGAGAACCTGGCTGAAGAAGAGTGTAGCTAACTCTATTATGCTTCTCTGTTTCCTCGGACAGTTTGTAATCTGTGTTGCCTGGTTATCAATTAGTCCTCCCTTTCCAGACTTGGACCTCACGTCCCAGCGGACAAAGGTCATAGTTAAATGTAATGAGGGATCAGTTGCCATGTTTTATTGTGTCCTTAGCTATATGGGCTTCTTAGCCTTTATTAGTTTTATTGTTGCTTCCTTTGCAAGGAACCTGCCTGATAGCTTTAATGAGGCCAAATTCATTACATTCAGTTTGTTGGTGTTTTGTAGCGTTTGGGTTTCCTTTGTTCCCACTTATTTAAGCACCAAAGGGAAATACATGGTTGCTGTAGAAATCTTTTGCATCTTGGCCTCTGGTGCAGGATTACTGGGTTGCATCTTTTTCCCAAAGTGTTATATTATAATTGTGAAACCTGGACTTAATTGCAAAGACCACTTGATAAGAAAAGTTCTTTAAACTTTTATTATATTTTTCTTTGTTTCCCTTTTTTATTTGGAATTATTTTTTTGTATTGTTTTTATCTTATGTTTCATAAATATCTGTAAAGTTTCTTCATTTACTATTGAAAACAACCTATATCCATGTTTTAAATAAAGCAAAATATTATAAAAACAAAAAAATTGTATAGTCAACTTTCAACATGTTACTTGCTGAAATGTATAAAGAAAGTCCCTTTGATATGAACTCAAATACAACCATGATAATTCACATTCATATGATGCATAGTGATAAGGAAATTTTGCTTACATATATTACCAATTAGCACTAAGTGGGCAATCATAAAATGAAGAATTATGAGTCCTTATCTGAGTTACCAATTTAATTCTGGCTATGGACATTAGCAAATCATCTATAGTCATGAAGACCAATGTCACATGACTATGACCAGTAAAGTACTGTTGGCTTCCCTATTTATTTTGCTTGTTGGAAGTCAGTTATTGAAGTCACAAATGATGATGTTATGACTATGGGACATTGTAGCATGTATTATGTAAATGCATAATGCACAATGATTGTCCAGTTCCTAAAACTTGATCACTAAAAGCAGGACCTCACAATTGGCTGCAACTTCAAAGACCACTCATAAGACTCCTTTTCCAACACTATTGTAATTTTAAATGTGTAATTGGTAAATGAGAGCTATCTTCACCAACAGCCCAATGATAAATTTGTCACCTCAAACTATTTGACAATCTCAGATTTTTAAAAATAAAATAGTATAAAATCTCTAAACTGTGCTCTCCAAGCAGAAATTAGGTGTCCAATTCGGCCATTCTGCTCTATGGAGATGTCACACTATCAGCCCTCTCTCAAAGATCCTGCAGGACAAAAGCAATCTGGACAACTGTGGGATCTGATAGAGTGAGAGCTGTGAACCATAAATACAAAGCTTTTTCTGTGATCCAGCATAACAGATATAGCACCCTTGCTGACCTTAATGGAGCATCGTGGAGGTTTACGGAAGCGTCACAGGCAAGTACGACTCAAGCTCGCACCATGTATGTGTGTGTGCATGTGCATCCATGTGGGTGACACCAGGGCCGTTCCAACCATAAAGGTTGGAACGGAATCCGGAACCCACCACTGAGTTATAGGCTTATCTTTTCAGAGGTTTCACTAGTATATAAGGGGAAAAAAGGGAAGGGCCAGCGTGTAGCAGAGTTTAATGTGTGGCTAAAGGAGTGGTGTAAAGGGGAAGACTTCAGTTTTATTAGTCATTATGCCTGCAGCTGGTCCAATGAAAAACTGTACAAAAGAGATGGTTTGCACCCATGCAAGAAAGGGACTGAGTTACTTGGCATTAAATTCACAGGTTTTCTGTATAAACATTTAAACTGGACAGTGGGGACAGAGAATTAATTGATACAGAACATTTCTATCTCCAGCAATCTAAAATTCATAGGGTTATCAGTGCATGTAATATAGATGTCTGTGCGGGCAAGATTATNGATAGATAGATAGATAGATAGATAGATAGATAGATAGATAGATAGATAGATAGATAGATAGATAGATAGATAGATAGATAGATAATGATAGATGCCTAATAAGATATTTCATTTTACTTTGTTTTTTTTCCTTGTTAACATTTTTTATTGAGTTATAAAATAACATTAGATACAAAATAAGAAAAAATAGGAAAACATTGAGGAGGAAAGGGGAGAAGAAAAGTGAGGAAGGATTAGAAAAGAAAAAGAAGCATTGACTTTTGACTATCTTTATTGGAGTAAAATAGAATATTAACATCAAATCCCAACTTTTTGTTTTTTCATAATAATATAAACTAGCCATTTCTATAAGGATCCATCAGTCTTTTGTTTCAACTTTGTAATATGTTTCCTGACAGATTGTTTGCAAATATCATTGTTTTTTTCTAAAAATAGCAATCAAATTTATATTTGGCATAACAAAAAGGCAATGGCTAATTTTTTAAAAAAACATAATTTTTACTATACACTCCTGATTCAAGCAAATTTAGTGTTTTAGAATCTTTTGCACTTAAACCTTGACTTGATTCCCCCCCCCATTTAATTTAATTTTTAATAGCATTTATTAATACCATGAGTCTTCAGATACTTGAGTTTTAATAGAAAACAAAAGAGCTATGTACCTTCAATAGAATAGTCATGACAGATGTGAAAATGGATAATCTGGAACTGAGAGAGAATTTCTTACTGCTTTGCCTTAACCTCACAATATGTCATTGTTTCTTTAACAGAATGAAATAAGAAAAAAATCCATCACAAAAATGAAATCTTTAAAATTAGATATAAATATATTAAACATAATAAAGAAAGTTGGATATATTTATTTCCAATTTAAAACCTCTTTCTCTGTGAAATGTAAGAACTTTTGGCTTGTAAAAGTACTTGTAAACCCACTAAGATATTATAAATTCATTCTCACATTTTATTTTGTTTTATTATGAAACCTGTACCTAAAATAGGCATGACAAATATCTAAAATGAAGGAAATATACCCCATAAAAATGATTAAATATTACAAAAACTGAGATTAGAATATGTTACCAAGTTGTCTATTAATAAAGTAGTTACCACTGTCTCTAATTTGGTGGAAACTTGAACAGAGATTCAGTCTTAATCCTAATGCCTTGTTTATTGTTGCATTCCTTTAATAGCTTTCTTATTAATATTACATTCATGTGACTGTTTGGATTTTTTAAATGAAATTGTATAGTTGATGTTTTGTGAAGGATTTTTTTTTATCAGAGAAGGAAAAAGTTCCTTTACTCCCAAGACATATGCAGATCACTAGGGAAAAAGCAGGGTGAGGAAGGCTGGGGAAAAAGAAGATCTTCAATTTAAGATTTCAAAAACTTAGGAGATTGTTTGTCAGTGTTCAATTCTGCAGAAATGGTATATTTTATTACTACAATTCTGATTGGGACATGATAAACTGTGTTACTGCGGTTGCCAGAAAAACACTAATTCAAGAGAAGATTTAATTCTGAAACACATTTTGTCATTCATTATGATAGAGCAGTTTGTAAATGGCTAAATAAAAACCAGGACATCACCTATGGAGAGTGATCTGTATTCTTTAACAAATAATGTTTGCCTCATCTTTTCTGCTGCCATTTTCTCTGTATTGGCCAAAACTACCATAGTCATTTTAGTTTTCAAAGCTATATAGCCAGGAACCAAGATAAAACACTGGCTGAAGAAAAGAGTTTGTAATCTGTGTTGCCTGGGTATCAATTAGTCCCCCCTTTCTAGATTTCACGCCCCAGAGGACAATGGACACAGTTAAGTGAAATGAAGGATCAATTGCCATGTTTTATTGTGTCTTTAGGTACCTATTGTGGGCTTCTTAGCCTTCGTTAGTTTTATTGTAACTTCCCTTGCAAGGATAGCCTGATAGCTAATGTTAGCTAATGACAGCATAGTTAATGAGGCCAAATTCATTACATTCAGCTTGTTGGTATTTTGCAGTGTTTGGATCTCCTTTGTACCCACTTATTTAATCTCCAAAGGGAAATACATGGTTGCTGTAGAAATCTTTTGCATTTTGGCCTCTGGTGCAGGATTACTGAGTTGCATCTTTTTTCCCAAAGCATTATATTATAATTGTGAATCCTAGACTTAATTGCAAATATCATTTGATAAGAAAAATTCATAAAACTAGATGTAGTAGTTAGTTGTAGTTGTAGTTTATTCAATTTGTATGCCGCCCTATTCCCAAGAGATTCAGGGCGGCTAACAACCAAGAGGGAAGGGGATACAAATAAGAAAATAAAAGACAAACGAATTAAAATAGAACAACAGTCGCAGCTTCAAATGGGGCTGGAAATTCATCAGCCCTAGGCCTGCCGGAACAACCAGGTCTTAGTGGCTTTGCGGAAAGCCNGAACTGAGGAGAAATTTCCTGACAGTTAGAACAATTAATCAGTGGAACAGCTTGCGTCCAGACGTTGTGAATGCCCCAACACTGAAAGTGTGTAAGAAGATGTTGGATAGCCATTTGTCTGAAATGGTATAGAGTTTCCTTCCTAGGCAGGGGGTTGGACTAGAAGACCTCCAAGGTGCCCTCCAATTTTGCTATTTTATTGTATTTGATAAATATATCACAGAAGCAAAACAGAATAGTAAATCTGTCCACTTTATCTAGTAGAGAGTAGTTAATCTGAGCAGGGCTTCAGGTGAATATTTGCAGATGCAATAAAGCCAGAGAGATGAGCTTGCCCTGCTGCCTTTATTGCAACAGTATAATCTCTTAATATGGAGTCATATCTTTAGTTGTATTTACTCTATGTGTATGGCATCATTCCTCGGGGATCATGAAGATCTGTGATTAGTGGGAACCCTCAGGGTTCAATAGAAGTGAAGATGTTCACAAATGGGATACAAACTGCTTTCCAAGAGTCTGAGCTGATAGAAATGCTTGTGAAGTGGAAGTGCTTTTAGTGAATAATCACTCAGAATGATGTACACAAAATATTCTAAATATTAGTGAAGAATTATTATTTTTATTATTAGAATAGTTTACAAAAATAAGCAAACCAAAAAACTTGGTACTATCAATCAACAGGACTCAAGTTAATGAGGCTTAACCTTCCTCATATCATTTCTTCATCACCAACTATAAGTTCACCAAGTATCAGACTCATTTCTTAAGACAATTATCAGCAAACAAGCTCATGTATTTTCAGAATTCAACCTGAGTAGATGGTATATTGATTAAAAAATGAATTTGAGAAGAACAGTCAGGGATAAAATGAATACATGGACTCATAGATAAGATGGTAAAGTACTGAATCAAGATTGCCAAGGCTCAGGACTTAAACCAGATTCACTAAGATCTAATTAATTATGCTAATTTAGAATAGCAAACTAAGTTTGGTGAAAAGCTATTCTGCATCTTTGCTATGATTGCATCCACCAAGTTGGAAATTGTATCACCTATTGATGATTAAAATATAAATATATCACTTTTAT